TTGTAATAGGTGATCCATTTATCATTATGTTAGAGGGACATCTGTAGCTCTGTTACCAAACTGAATGAAGTAGGTTTTGTCAATGTTTAGTGTAAGTTTGTTAGTCCTCATCCAGGTAGATATTTTCTGTAATTCGGTATTTACAGTATTGGCTAGCGTGACTGGGCTCGGGTGAGAGAAGACGTATGTAGTGGTCATCTGCAAATAGTGTGGGTTTGAGTAATTGCGAAGCATTTGGAAGGTCATTTATGTATAGGAGAAAGAGAAGAGGGCCAAGGACACTTCCCTGTGGGACACCAACTGTAATTGGTTGTGCAGAAGAGTTTGCCCCATTTGCGTACACATATTGGCTTCTGTTGCTGAGGTAAGACTTGAGGTAGTTGAGGGAGTGCCCTCTTATACCATAGTGTGACAATTTTACGTGGAGCAAGTCATGGTCAACTGTATCAAAAGCTTTACGTAAGTCAATGAAGATCCCCAGTGGGACTTCTTTTTTCTCTATTGCAGTGTATATATGTTCTAGCATGTGTATAATAGCATCATTAGTATTTTTATTAGGCCTGAATCCAAATTGGCAGGGGTTGAGGTATGTTTTGGGAGATAAGGTAGGAAGTAGATTCGTTTATGAATTAATTTTTAGAAGATTTTTGAGAGAGGGTGTAAGTTGATATTGGCCTATAGTTATTCAACTCTGTTTGGTCTCCTCCTTTGTGGATCGGGGTGACCCTTGCTATTTTGAATACTGTAGGGAAGGTGGAGGATTCAATGGATTTTGTTAAAGAGTGTTGCAATGATTGGTGATAGCACTTGTGACACTTTTTTGTATATAAGGGGTGGTAAGGTATTTAAATCTCCTGCCTTGTTTTTTAGTGCGTTGATAATAAGGGAGACTTCGTATGGGTTAGTCGGAGCTAGGAACAGTGTGTTCGGGTAGTTGCCGGTGAGGTAGTCATTTGGTGGGGTATCTGAGCTTGGGATTTTATTGGCAAGGTTTTGTCCTATAGTGGAGAAGAAATCATTGAGTCTGTTTGCTGTTTCTGTTGGTGGGAGTTGGGGTTCATCTGATTTTGCTAATTTTATTTCGCTATTCGTGATATCTTTTTTGTTCCCAGAATTTCTGATAGGGTTTTCCAGGTCTTTTTTATATCACCATCGTAAGTTGGATAATCTGTTCTCATAATACAATTTTTTTGCCCTTCTTATCAGGCTGGTTAGGATTGACGAGTAACGTTTTGTTTGGTCTCTGGTTATGTGACCCATTCTGTACTGTTTTTTCATATTGGTGTTTTGTATTTATGGATTTGAGAATGCTGGGTGTTAGCCAGGGACTGTTCAGTCTCTTGCTGTCATCTGTTTAGTTTTTTTAGGGCAGTGCTTGTTATAGAGGTATTGGGTTTTTTTTTAGAAAATTATTAATACATTCGTCAATATCTGTATAGGTTTCTAGCTCAGTGTGCCAATCAATGTTTGCTATTGCTGTTGTGAAGTTATTAATGGCTGCCTCATTGTGAAGTCTGAAGGTGACTTTAGTAGTGTCTTGGGGTAGTTTACCAAGAGTTGTTATGAGGAAAGTAGGGTAGTGGTCTGTGGTATTATCTGTAATTGAGACACTTATGCACCAAATGGGAATTTTTATCCTTCAATAGACTCCCATGTGGTGCATGAGTGTCTCAATTCTTCTATTTATATAGTGTAGACGGAATATTTTACAAACTGAAAATTATAATCAGTTATTCTTAGTCAATAAAATTGAGAAAAATAAAATCAGATGTCTTCGAAATCTAACTTTTTTTTTTTCGAAAACTGCTGTTTATCATTCATTTTATTTTATTTCTTATTTGTAATTCAATTTAATTTCCATGTTGAGGGCCCCCCCAAACCTAAAGTACCCAGGCCCTCCAAGGTCTAGATCCGGCCTGTATGTTAATAATTTGTGTACCTGTTAATAATTTGTGTACATGTTAATAATTTGTGTGGAAAACTGCATTTATCTGAATGTATCATTATATACATAACAGTAAATGAATATTGATAATTATTATTTATCAGTTAGATAAGTAGAATTTGGGGACACCTAGGTCGCAAAAAATGTCCCCCTTCGATACCTACCACTGTCATATCCACAAGTTGCTCTGGACCTATTAATTAAATGAAATATACATCACCAGGAATGCTGGTAAATATATAAATTTGTGGACTGTAATTAAAATTAAAAAAGGATTATAGTATATACACACTTTATATAACAGAAGGAGAATATATCTTAATATCACTCACCAATTTGACTGGAGATTAATGTGTATCATACTCAGAAAACCTCACTGTCTATCTATGAAAATAACACTGGCCAGATTACTACATAAGACTTATCTGAGGTTCCTGGAGCTGTCTTGTCCAGTCGCCTGATATCTCAAGTTATGCAGGAATGCACATCCAACAATTTCGTCTCCTATTTGAGAGGTGTCAGCCTAATTTTAACCTCTAGAGCACGAAAAATTCTAACCATTACACCAACGTTTCAAATCCAAATTCAAACAAAATGGCGACTGACCCCCCCCCCCCCCAGCCGCAGGTTTCCCCATTTTCGATAACATACTTCTTTTAAATTATTATTATTATAATCAAGGGGAAGCGCTAAACCCGGAGGATTATACAGCGCCCTGGGGGGGGGATATGTGGAAGGCATTCAGGCTTAATTCGGGGAACTGGAGCACAGATCCAATTCCCTAAATCAAGAGCCCCTCACCAACATCAGGAACCTTCCTTGAGGGGACTTCTTTTAAAAATACAATATAGGGCATCTATTTACCTATAAATTACCGTATTTCCGGAAAATATATACAGTATTTTCCACAATTTGTGTACCTGTACCTAAATAAATTAATCGATGAAATAAATGGCCATTAGCACATTTACGCTTTTAAGTGGATTAATAACAGTCTACATCATATTTTTTGTGAGCCAAAATGAATATTATTGGTTTAAGGCCCTTTGAAGCACCCTAGGACCCTTAAGGAATACTAAAAGTAACACTGAGGGAACCCTTGAGAACCCTCTTAAGATGAAAGTTAAGACACTTGTGCAACATCTGGTTATCTTTATTGTAAACGTTTCGCCATCCAGTGGCTTTATCAATACAGATTCTTGGACATAATTAGAAAACAGAAGAACTATATACAAAAGATGAGGTAATCAGTCCCTCAGCCTTGGAGGTGGTGTTTACAGCACCATGGTTGTAGAGATTCAGATCTCTATAACCATGGTGCTGTAAACACCACCTCCAAGGCTGAGAGACTGATTACCTCATCTTTTATATATAGTTCTTCTGTTTAATAATTATGTCCAAGAATCTGTATTGATAAAGCCACTGGATGGCGAAACGTCTACAATAAAGATAACCAGATGTTGCACAAGTGTCTTAACTTTCATCTTGTCGGTACTGTATACCTGTCTTGCACAACCCTCTTAAGGACTTTAGAGGGGACCCTAGTGGATCTCAAGAGGTAGGGGCCTTAGAGGTACCCTTGAGGGGCCCTTCAGAGGGTTCCGTTAGGGGGTCCCCCGGGAGGCAAATTTGAGAAGCCCCCAGAGGTACCCCTTAAGAGCCCTTGAGGGTCCCTAGAGGTACTCTTGACGGTCCTCAGAGGTGCCTTAACCAAGTTTGATGCTAATATTCCATTGCAGACACTGCAAAGCTCCAGGCAGACATCAACCAAATCTTTCAGTGGGCTGCAGAAAACAATATGAAGTTCAACGATGAGAAATTTCAATTACTCAGATATGGTAAACATGAGGAAATTAAATCTTCATCAGAGTACAAAACAAATTCTGGCCACAAAATAGAGCGAAACACCAACGTCAAAGACCTGGGAGTGATCATGTTGGAGGATCTCACCTTCAAGGACCATAACATTGTATCAATCGCATCTGCTAGAAAAATGACAGGATGGATAATGAGAACCTTCAAAACTAGGGAGGCAAGCCCATGATGACACTCTTCAGGTCACTTGTTCTATCTAGGCTGGAATATTGCTGCACACTAACAGCACCTTTCAAGGCAGTGAAATTGCCGACCTAGAAAATGTACAGAGAACTTTCACGGCGCGCATAACGGAGATAAAACACCTCAATTATTGGGAGCGCTTGAGGTTCCTAAACCTGTATTCCCTGGAACGCAGGAGGGAGAGATACATGATTATATACACCTGGAAAATCCTAGAGGGACTAGTACCGAACTTGCACACGAAAATCACCCACTACGAAAGCAAAAGACTTGGCAGACGATGCACCATCCCCCCAATGAAAAGCAGGGGTGTCACTAGCACGTTAAGAGACCATACAATAAGTGTCAGGGGCCCGAGACTGTTCAACTGCCTCCCAGCACACATAAGGGGGATTACCAACAGACCCCTGGCAGTCTTCAAGCTGGCACTGGACAAGCACCTAAAGTCAGTTCCGGATCAGCCGGGCTGTGGCTCGTATGTTGGTTTGCGTGCAGCCAGCAGCAACAGCCTGGTTGATCAGGCTCTGATCCACCAGGAGGCCTGGTCTCAGACCGGGCCGCGGGGGCGTTGACCCCCGGAACTCTCTCCAGGTAAACTCCAGGTGAAGGTGACGTCAGTAGGCTCATTAGACCAGGTTAGCGGGGGTGACCCATCCATCCTAGATAGTTAACTGGAAGTAGCTACCTTGGTAGTGGTGGTCCTCGTCACCACGTAGCTTCCGCCAGCTACTTGTAGCTTCCACCAGCTACTTGTAGCTTCCACCAGCTACTTTTAGCATCCACCAGCTACTTTTAGCTTCTACCAGCTACTTTTAGCTTCTACCAGCTACTTTTAGCTTCTACCAGCTACTTTTAGCTTCTACCAGCTACTTTTAGCTTCTACCAGCTACTTGTAGCTTCCACCTGCTCCACGTCACTGAGTAGATACAGTAGTGGTATGATTCAACGTTCAGTGTCATAGAGCGAGGATAGTGAGGCAGGACACTTGATGGTGACGACTGGAACGTTTGTTTATCATTAACCTTAGTGGAAATAAGTCATTGATTTTTTTTTGTTGTTTTTAGGACGGGGGTGGGGGTTATCCTAGATAATTTACAAATGTCTTATTTAAGTCAATCCGTGATCATTGAGAAATTGTGCTATTGAACCTAAATGAAGTTGCTTAATGTTTGGGTGGCTAGGTGGCACTGGACGGCTCTATTCTCTCAAGTGTCGTTGTCAAAGCTCTGGGTGGCTAGGTGGCACTGGACGGCTCTATTCTCTCAAGTGTCGTTCCTTCCTGTCAGAGCTCTAGATCCAAGGAATTTGAGCTCTCCATCTCCTCCCTCTGATCAGACTTGTTTGCCACTTGTTACTTAGTAACTGTATGACCCCCTCATAATGGGTTTGGTGCATCACTAATTAATAAACACCAACACTCGAGACTCATGTTTCACGAAACAATGTAAGTACATAGTATGCTAACACTATTACTTTCATTTATTATGTGTATATAGTGTATGTTGCATATTTTATTATGTGTATATTATGTGTATATAGTGTATGTTGCATATTTTATCTTGTCAATTTAAATCTAGTTATACTCTAATTCTTGTAAACAACTTATATAACACCTTAGTGCAATTACAATTGAGAGTCTTGTGCCTTTTTTATATTATTAGATTAAACTCAGTTGTACTATAGTCAGTACCAAATTCATTATATTAGACCATATTGCAATTACTAGTGAGAGACTGGTGCTATTTTTAATTTGTATTGTTATATTATTAGATTAAATCTAGTTGTACTATAGCTCATTCTAGCTCAAAACATAGACTCCACAAAAGTCATTATATTAGACCTTAGTGCAGGTAAACCACTTTATTGTTCACCACAACTTATATTAGTCCCTTTTATATTATAATTTTATATTATAATTCTAACTTTAAAGAATTACCTTTAAAGTACTACCTACTATCATATTCCCAAGCTCCATTATTTGATCATCACTTTATTTGTTCACCACAAATTATTTTAGTCCCTTTTATATTGTCTCCTTTATTTTAGCTTTAAAAAACTACCTTAGCTCATTATTTTTACATTTGTTAAATAATTCAGGTGCTATTTTTTTTTTTAGCTTTAGAATATTTACTTTATTTTTTACTTAATTCTAACTATAGATTCACTACAAATCTTATGATTACAAGCATTGATCCTGATACCAACCTCTTATTTAATGACTTAAATGATTCAAACAGTTACTGTAATTACTACACAGCAGAACAATCAAAGGCAACTTCTCAGAGCTAACAACAACATAACTATCTTTAACTACAATATCAGATCTTTAAGCAAGCATTATGATGACCTCCTAGCATTACTAAATTCCTTGCATGCCAATATGTCCATCATTACACTAACTGAAACCTGTCTAAAAGCCTGATACTACAGATGTCTATGCCATTCCTGGTTACACAGCCATACACAACTGTAGGCCAGACCAACAAGGGGGTGGCACTGCTATATACTACTCAGACCAACTAGAATGTATCACTAATACTTGCACAAGGGATGAACATGGGGAATATATAATAGCTAAATTCAAATCCAAATACCTACAAAAACCTCTCACAGTGATAAACATCTACAGAGTTCCACAATCAAACATTAGCCAATTTAGTCAAAACCTAGGAAGTATGATAACTGATGCACGCATGAACAAAGATCACTTACTACTCTCAGGTGACTTCAATATAAATCTCCTGCAAGACCAGGACCCACATGTTACGGAATTCACAAACACAATGAGTAACTGCATGTTGCTACCAACAGTAACAAAACCTACAAGAGTTACAGAGACTAGTGTTTCCCTACTTGACCACATCTGGACCAACACCATATCCCCTTTAAAATCAGGCATAATTACAGATAATACCACAGACCACTACCCTACTTTCCTCATAACAACTCTTGGTAAAATACCCCAAGACACTACTAAAGTCACCTTCAGACTTCACAATGAGGCAGCCATTAATAACTTCACAACAGCAGTAACAAACATTGACTGGCACACTGAGCTAGAAATCTATACAGATATTGACGAATGTTTTAATAATTTTCTAAAAAAGACCCAATACCTTTATAACAAGCACTGCCCTAAAAAAACTAAACAGATGACAGCTAAGAGACTGAACAGTCCCTGGCTAACACCCAGCATTCTCAAATCCATAAATACAAAACACCGATATGAAAAAACAGTACAGAATGGGTCACATAACCAGAGACCAAACAAAACGTTACTCGTCAATCCTAACCAGCCTGATAAGAAGGGCAAAAAAATTGTATTATGAGAACATATTATCCAACTTACGAGGTGATATAAAAAAGACCTGGAAGACCCTATCAGAATTCTGGGAACAAAAAGATATCACGACATAGCGAAATAAAATTAGCAAAATCAGATGAACCCCAACTCCCACCAACAGAAACAGCAAACAGACTCAATGATTTCTTCTCCACTATAGTTCAAAACCTTGCCAATAAAATCCCAAGCTCAGATACCCCACCAAATGAACTAACCTCACTGGCAAAACTACCCGAACACACTGTTCCTAGCTCCGACTAACCCATAAGAAGTCTCCCTTATTATCAACGCACTGAAAAACAAGGCAGGAGATTTAAATACCCTACCACCCTTTATATACAAAAAAGCGTCACAAGTACTATCACCAATCATTGCAACACTCTTTAACAAATCCATTGAATCCTCCACCTTCCCTACAGTTCTCAAAATAGCAAGGGTCACCCCGATCCATAAAGGAGGAGACCAAACAGAGTTGAATAACTATAGGCCAATATCCAATTTACACCCTCTCTCAAAAATCTTCGAAAAATTAATTCATAAACGAATCTACTCCTACCTCATCTCCCAAAACATTCTCAACCCCTGCCAATTTGGATTCAGGCCTAATAAAAATACTAATGATGCTATTATACACATGCTAGAACATATATACACTGCAATAGAGAAAAAAGAAGTCCCACTTGGGATCTTCATTGACTTACGTAAAGCTTTTGATACAGTTGACCATGACTTGCTCCACGTAAAATTGTCACACTATGGTATTAGAGGGCACTCCCTCAACTACCTCAAGTCTTACCTCAGCAACAGAAGCCAATATGTGTACGCAAATGGGGCAAGCTCTTCCGCACAACCAATTACAGTTGGTGTCCCACAGGGAAGTGTCCTTGGCCCTCTTCTCTTTCTCCTATACATAAATGAACCTACCAAATGCTTCGCAATTACTCAAACCCACACTTTTTGCAGATGACACTACATACGTCTTCTCTCACCCGAGCCCAGTCACGCTAGCCAATACTGTAAACACCGAATTACAGAAAATATCTACCTGGATGAGGACTAACAAACTTACACTAAACATTGACAAAACCTACTTCATTCAGTTTGGTAACAGAGCTACAGATGTACCTCTTAACATAACAATAAACGGATCACCTATCACAAAGCTAACAGAGGGAAAATTCCTAGGAATCCACCTCGATAATAGACTCAAATTTCATACACATATACAACAAATTTCTAATAAAATCTCCAAGACTGTAGGCATACTATCGAAGATACGGTACTATGTTCCACAGTCAGCCCTCTGGCCCTTTATCACTCTCTATTTACCCCTATCTCACCTATGGAATTTGTGCATGGGGCTCAACAACAATTAACCATCTCAGACCACTAATTACCCAACAAAAGGCTGCAGTTAGAATAACAAATTCTCACTACAGGCAACACACTCCATCAATATTCAAAACACTCAACCTACTCACCATACAAAACATCCTTACTTATTATTGCACCTATTACATACATAGAACACTTAACTCTGATATTAACCCTCCCCTCAAACATCTCCTTGCCAACCTCAACAGAACACATGACCATAACACAAGGCACAGATCACTCTTTGATGTTCCTCGTGTCCATCTCACGCTATGCAAAAACTCAATGCACATAAAAGGCCCTAAAATCTGGAATTCATTACCTGTAAATATAAAAGAAACACTACCCGTTTATAAATTCAAGTCACTTCTCAAAGATCACTTACTCACTCAAAACCAAATAAATACTGAATAACTGAACCTTATAAATTGTATATCCTATATGTTACTCACAATTATATCACACAAATGTTAAACCTAGGACCCAATCTAACTTTATTATTTTTTTAAATACACTACCTAACAGAATACTCCATTCGACTGAATGTACAGCAATGCAAGCAACCATATGACCTGTCTTTGTAATACTCATTTGTGCTTTATAGTTATCTGTTTACAATAATGTTTTATCACTGATTTCATCATTGCTTAGTTAATCTTAAGTTAATTTTAAGCCAGCCCGTAATGCTATGCATATAAGTGGCTTTGGCATGCTGCTCTTACCTGTATTTTTTGTACCTCTGTTTGTATGCTTAAATTACTAAATAAATAAATAAACTGTCATCTGGCAGTTCTAGATTAAATGTGTAGTCTAGGGGTCACTGCTTGAGACTAATAACTGTTGCCACTTATCTACAGCCACAATTCATAGAAAGTTTTGCTGTATTTAATATAATAATTATTTCCTAAGTCTTTAGTTTGAGTTTATGAAATTTTCGTATGTTAGTACTCAGGGTTATAATTTTAATTTCTCCCCAATGGAAATAAGTCACTTGTCTGCTTGGGTTATCCTAGGCGATCTACACATATGTTGTTATGTACAATAATTTATGTAACTATTTGTGTATATGAATAAACTTACTCAATGTCATCAGTCATACAACATACACACACAATTTAGTTTATTATTCTGACATAATATATTTATCTATTTCGGTCACGTCATCATTCGTGTTTCTTAGTTCTTATTTATTTTTTCAGGTCATTATCATTCAAAGGTATTCCAGTACAGAAAAGCAATTTGTGTATTCATATTTTTATCATTACATATAAAGCAATATTGTAGAGATATAAATGCAGAACATTTTTACATGTTGTTATGAGTTAATCTAACATATCCAGGAAATTCTTGTTCTGAATTTGTACATGTTATGATGACTTGACCTAGGATACCTGGAGAGAGTTCTGGGGATCAAATGCCCCCACAGCCCAGTCTGTGACCAGGCCTCGTGGTGGATCAAGGCCATGTGTAACCCGATGTACGAACCACAGCTTGGCTGGTCAGGCACTGACTTTAGGTGCCTGTCCAGTGCCTTCTTGAAGACAGCCAGGGGTCTATTGGTAATCCCTCTTATGTATGCTGGGAGGCAGTTGAACAGTCTTGAGCCCCTGACACTTATTGTGTTATCTCGTATTATGCCAGTGGCACCCATGCTTTTCATTGGGGGATGTTGCATTGTCTGCCGAGTCTTTTGCTTTCATAGGGAGTGATTTTTGTGTGCAAGTTTGGTACTAATCCCTCTAGGATAGGATATCTCTAAAAATCCTTCTAAAATCTTTGTACATGCTATGATGTTTTAATTAAAACCTAAAATGTCCTCAGAAGAATATATTAAAAACAACAGCTTTAACAATAAAAATAAGTACATGCAACATAATTGTTTGCCTACATGCCTCCCCTTAAGGGAGAGCTCTTATTTTAAGGAATTATACCTGTGCTTGCCTTCCTTGGATCAAATCTTAATGACTCCCATTCCCCAAGTGATGTATGACCTCTCTCAGTTTAGCTCTCCCCCATATATATAATAATAATTTGCGTACATGTGATGTAGAATTTCCAGCTTACAGGTAATCTTTTAAGCAAGAAAAATCTAGTAAGAGGTAAGCACAACTACTATAATATAAATTCCAGCCTCAGATTACAATACCGGTATGTATTGTTATCTACAATATCATACAAATGAAGTCTGGGGGCTTAAGTTTTGCATACAACAAGTCTTTGAAGACAAGTAAGACACATGGTCAGCAGCTGGGTATCTTCATTGCTGAAACATTTTGCTAACATGGTGGGCTTCTTCAGTCAAATGCAGAGGAGAATAAACATGGAGATAATAGGAGTAATGGCAAGGTAAAAAATAGATTAGTCCATCAATCTTGGAGTAGTTTTTTTTTTTCGGTGGTCTGTCCCCAATCTTAGAGAAGAGTTCATCTCCATAGTCTAGAACAATGTGAAGCTGAAGCACGAGAATATAAATACATACTATCAAAGGTAAGACATGGAAAGTCTCAAAGACGTCACAAGAAGAGGCAGGGCCCACTGGGAGAAGCAAGAAGGTAAGAATTAAGAAACACTGCAGCAAGCCTACTGGCCAGTATTAAATAAGTCCCTCTGAAATCCAACTCTTCCCACTCTGTTCCAAGGTACCATTGTGTTGCTGTGTCAGACTTGTCTATTTGTCTGATTCGATATTAACTAGCAATTTATTTTATTATTTAAATAATACTTGGACCAGTTTGCAGATTACAGAGTATATATGTTTTCACTTTTTTTTTTAATTAGAAGATTACCATCCCTGTGATATTTCCTTACAGTATATGCATCCTGGTGTGGTCAGTAAGATTTATTAAGCAAATGTCACTCGAACAAGATCCTGATTCTTGAGAGGTAATGTTATAGAATATTCTCAGTTTATGCACTTCGATAGAACATATTGCGCCCCTCTTCGATAGTTTAGTAATGATGCTTTCTATACTGACAACATTATTTCCTGAAATTTTAGGCCTTTAATTTGAGACCTATGATTGCTGACATTTGAGACCCATTGCTGACGTTTGGGAACTCTGATTAATGACATTCAAGACCTATAATTAATGACTGATATACTTTACTTTTTTTTTTTTTTTAAGATGGGAGTGACTGGCCAACCTGAGCTCATCCAACCCCATAGTTTTGTGAGCTTCATGCAGCTGCACCATCTGCACTTAAGATAGCTGCAAACATTTCTAGAGGTCAGCTGGTCAATTTTGCTCTTGAACATAAATTCTACTGCCTTTCATAAGATCTATAAAGAACACTTTGCATCGTGGCACCAGTAATTGCTGACTTATGATCTATGTTTCTCACTGAAGATGATTGCACCTGGCTGACTAGCTCATTTAGAAGCAGTCACAAAAACTTAACCTGAGTGTTATTAGTAATTTGTTTTTTCCAGGGTTGAATTTAGGTCCTTTAGTTCAGATCCATAATTGATACACCTAACTTGAAAATTGTTTAGGGTGACCTTTTCGTTTTTTCTTACTGTATTAGTCTCATTCTTACAAACTCATCAGGGTCTTCGCTGTATAGCCATTGTGGCTTAGCGCTTCTTTTTTATTATAATAATATAATCAGGGTCTAGAGTAGACTGGATGTCCTTTGAGGCTGGAATAGAAAAAAAAATGGTCAGCCAAATTTCTCAGTGTATCAGCACAGTAAAGATGCAGCTTCTGTGCCAAGGCAGTGCACCATCAGTATTAGATCTGGTATATACAGTAATAGAAAAAGAGGAGGATATTCTCAGTTCAATTTAATCTGAACCCTCTTGGAAAAAATGCCATATGTCGCTGAATATGATTTTGGAAGGAAAAAGACAATCACTGAAAAGAATAACAATATTAAAGAAAAAAAAATATGATTATGTAAGAATACTAACTTGCAAAAGAAAGACATACAAATATGATAAAGTTCTGCTACACATGAAGACAGCTAAATTAATAACTATTTAAAAACTAATAGACCTAAGAATAAAGAATGGTTTACTGGAAAGTGCTGGAGAGCCATGAGAAAGAAAGGTCTTGAAACTGATACAAGAGATATGCCAACCCTAATATGTACTGTCCAGATATTCAAAAGGGTGAGACAATATAGAAAAGTAATAAAGAAGGAAGAAAAGAGGCCATGGTAGGCAAGAGCAAGACAGAGCCTAATATTTATTAAGTTTTATAAAAATAGAAACAAATGTGATAGACAAAATACGTATAATTAAGACAAATTACGTATAATTAATGACAACACTGAAATCACTGAATTGAAGAAGGAAACGTATAAGATACTAAACATGGAGTTCCAGAGTGCTTACAAAAGAGGGTACCTTAGATATCCAGGTAACAAATTGGAGTGAAAGACACTGAATAGCCAAAGAGGAGATAAAGGGTCTGTTGAAGGAAGGATCAGCTAGTTTATTGCTATATGGATTATGTTACAGTATGTAAGTACCATGCAGCATGAGTAGATGGCCAAAGTTGGTTATGAGAAATAAAATTAATTGGCAGAAATCACAGCTGTGTAGTTGACTGTACATGCAATTTTTATAAATAACTTTCAAGAAAGGAAAAAAAAAATCTATGAATGTTTGTACATGATAGAAAGTTCCTGTGTGAAGTATGTAACAAAAATTTCCTGACATCACCAACAGGAATATAATGCAGAGAATTCGTAGTTTGGAAGTTAGGAGGAGGTGCGGGATTACCAAAACTGTTGTCCAGAGGGCTGAGGAAGGGTTGTTGAGGTGGTTCGGACATGTAGAGAGAATGGAGCGAAACAGAATGACTTCAAGAGTGTATCAGTCTGTAGTGGAAGGAAGGCGGGGTAGGGGTCGGCCTAGGAAAGGTTGGAGGGAGGGGGTAAAGGAGGTTTTGTGTGCGAGGGGCTTGGACTTCCAGCAGGCGTGTGTGAGCGTGTTTGATAGGAGTGAATGGAGACGAATGGTTTTTAATACTTGATGTGCTGTTGGAGTGTGAGCAAAGTATCATTTATGAAGGGGTTCAGGGAAACCGGCAGGCCGGACTTGAGTCCTGGAGATGGGAAGTACAGTGCCTGCACTCTGAAGGAGGGGTGTTAATGTTGCAGTTTAAAAACTGTAGTGTAAAGCACCCTTCTGTCAAGACAGTGATGGAGTGAATGATGGTGAAAGTTTTTCTTTTTCGGGCCACCCTGCCTTGGTGGGAATCGGCCAGTGTGATAATAAAAAAATAATAAAAATAACCAACAGGAAGAAAAGAAAGCTATAGTTGTAAATTCAAGAGGATGTGGTACAGAGTAGACAGTGAAATGTTCTCAGAATAGGTTACAAAGATGAGGTACTGCTGTGAGTACTATAGCCACTGGAAATGTGCCTGCCTCACGAATTCATGCACATTTTGTCTTTTTGAGCTGCACATGCATCATACTAATCACTTCAATTCACTGCATCAACTCTTTATCCTTGTACTGCATATCATTATTACAGTTTTTTTTTAATTAAATGGTTGCATGTTAGGAATTTTTCCTACAATACAGTGATGACAGTAACAGTGCTAATGTTTTATACTCTACCAGTTACAAAATTTTCAACTCTTAAGCCAAGAATGGAATTAGTTGCAATTGAAGTGTGTAAATTTGTGCCTAAGTTAGTTAAGATGGGTGAAAGATCTGCTCTCAATAGGTATGTGATAATCAGAAATTCCATTTTAGATAAAATTTACTTTTTATATTTCAGACACAGCTATAACTATTATAACATACAGGAAAACTACTTCACTGTATACTGTATAACCTATTGAACAAGGAGCTGTCTTTGTAGCTATAAATAGTTTGCAAATGGAGCAGGAAGAAAGTGTTGCTGTTTCATCTTGGATTAAAAAAGAAATTCAAGAAGATGTAAACTCTGATAACACCTCACAAAATGAGCAGGAAGAAAAGACAACTGATGCAACTTCTGCCGACGCAGTGTGTGAGACAAAAAACTCTGTTGACCCAAGCCTCTTTGAAAGTATTGTCAGTATGGGCATAGACAAACGACTGGCAGCTAAGGTAAATTTATACTCCACTCTGTCAAAGTTTGAAAAGCTCTTCCAAATAAAATAAAAAATTTTTGGGAATGTGTGTAAAGGTAGAAAGTTGAAAGTGAACATAGAAAAGAGTAAGGTGATGAGGGTATCAAATGATTTAGATAAAGAAAAATTGGATATCAAATTGGGGACGAGGAGTATGGAAGAAGTGAATGTTTTCAGATACTTGGGAGTTGACGTGTCGGCGGATGGATTTATGAAGGATGAGGTTAATCATAGAATTGATGAGGGAAAAAAGGTGAGTGGTGCATTGAGGTATATGTGAGTCAAAAAAAAATTATCTATGGAGGCAAAGAAGGGAATGTATGAAAGTATAGTAGTACCAACACACTTATATGGGGGTGAAGCTTAGGTGGTAAATGCAGCGCGAGGAGACGGTTGGGGCAGTGGGGATGTCCTGTCTAAGGGCAATGTGTGGTTTTAAATATTATGCAGAAATTCGGAGTGTGGAAATTAGGGAAAAAGGGGTGGAGTTAATAAAAGTATTAGTAAAAGGGCAGAAGAGGGGTTGTTGAGGTGGTTTGGTCATTTAGAGAGAATGGATCAAAGTAGAATGACATGGAAAGCATATAAATCTATAGGGGAAGGAAGGCGAGGTAGGGGTCGTCCTCGAAAGGGTTGGAGAGAGGGGGTAAAGGAGGTTTTGTGGGCAAGGGGCTTGGACTTCCAGCAGGCGTGCGTGAGCGTGTTAGATAGGAGTGAATGGAGACGAATGGTACTTGGGACCTGACGATCTGTTGGAGTGTGAGCAGGGTAATATTTAGTGAAGGGATTCAGGGAAACCGGTTATTTTCATATAGTTGGACTTGAGTCCTGGAAATGGGAAGTACAATGCCTGCACTTTAAAGGAGGAGTTTGGGATATTGGCAGTTTGGAGGGATATGTTGTGTATCTTTATACGTATATGCTTCTAAGCTGTTGTATTCTGAGCACCTCTGCAAAAACAGTGATTATGTGTGAGTGTGGTGAAAGTGTTGAATGATGATGAAAACATTTTCTTTTTGGGGATTTTCTTTCTTTTTTGGGTCACCCTGCCTCGGTGGGAGACGGCCGACTTGTTGAAAAAAAAAAAAAAAAAAGTTCTACACTGTACATACTAATGAAACTGAAAGTGGTGTTAAATTATGTTACAAAATAGAGTATGAGTGAATAGTTATGATTAGCTAATGGAGTAAAATGTAGCAATTTAAACATTAATTGCATCCTTTTTACAGTACTGTCTTTAAACTACCTTGTGAAATAATAAAAGGATGATATAATAGTTTAAATACCAGCTATAACAGTTATCTTGAAGTAAACTTAATGTTTTCCTATTTTTTTTTCTGCCAGGCCCTGGTTTGCACTAGCAATAAAAATGTAGAGGCTGCTTTGTCATGGATAGTGAACTAGGTCGAAAAAGGAGGTTATGTGGTGTATGACCTGGTAAGCATTCAGGACAACTTATTTTTCTCAAAACTGACTGAGGTTTATGAATGGTATCTTAAATCGTGGCATTTCATTTTTGCCTGAACATTCGTACCAAATGTAGGGGTGGGAAAAAGTTGGTGTGCATGTCAAGAGTACTGAGCTAAAGTAGGAAGGTGGTGTGTGGGGGGGGTTTGGGGGAAGGGGGGTGTCCAGCATGGGAAGATTTTGGTGTGGATGGGGGGGTACGAATGTAGTGGAAAGGTGATGTTAGGGGGGAGCATGGACTTTGCATTTGGCGGGGGTGTGGGGCAGTTTCTGGGTAAACAATGGGGAGGTGGTGTAGGACATTTACAGGGTAAGCGATGAGGAGATGTTATGGGAAGATTGCATGGACTAGCAGGGGGAAGGCAGTGATGGTAAGTGTGCTGATAAGCGGGGGAAAGGGGTTGGGGGCAAGGTGTCTGGCTTTGTTATGTAGTGTAAAGGAACTATGCTGTTGAAAGGTTTCTGTGGTAATTGTGCTTTTTTACTGTACTCGACAAAAATTTAAGAAAATTGTGGAAAATCACTTGCTCTTAACATGAAAGGGGTTGTTAATCTTTTCCAACTCAGCAAGCACGAAATATAAAATATACAATCCCCGACTTGCTACTATATAGGCTTCACTTACTTTGACTGTGTTTTTTAAGGGCCCATTCTCACCACACCATAAAAAGTTGCCATCCTTGTGCCCCTGATTAGATTATGTGTCTGTTTTCATTTGTGATTTTTGTAGCTAAGATAGTATGGTACATGATTTGGTGTTGGACCCCAAGGGGCATATACCCCAGTAGGTTTAGCGCTAGGGTTTTTATTTTAAAAAATAACAATGGACCAGAGGTTAAAATTTATAGAAGGGGATTCAAGGGTTTTTTAGGTGTTTAAATTTAGATAGTCTTTCATTCCAGCACATCTACTAAGTGAGAGCTATATATAAGAAAGCATCTGGCTGTAAACAAAATATTTTAATGATAGATGGCAGATACAGTGGAACCTTGGCAGACGAACTTAATTTGTTCAAGAAGGCTGTTTGAATGCCAGTCTGTCCCAGTACTGAACAGATTTTGTCCAACCAATTTTCTTTTTGGTTGGCTGTTATCACTAACCCTCTTAGGCCTCATGGTGATTTATTTAAACAAATAATATAAAAAACACCAAAAAATGTGTGGAAACAAGATAGTTTACAGCGAAGTTCTGGCAGGTCGTGTTTGTTTGGTCAAGTGCTGAGCAAGCGATCGACTACCGAGCGATTTGTATACCGAACGAAGTGTTCAGATACCGAATTGTTTGAGTATGGAGCTGTATGAGTACTGAGGTTCCACTAGTGAGAGAGTGTTATGGCTTGAATTTAAATTTAAAGAATAGAGGGATCTAGATTGTGAAATGGTTTGCATTTCCAGAAGTATGTGCAGTTATTAATGAGCTGGCATAAGAAATTTTCTCTGGGAGGAGCACTTATAGAAATTCTTAAGGATTTAAAGTGTTGGAAGTATGATACTGTAATGTACTGTTTATGGGGATTACCCCATTCTGATGGTACACTGGCATTTTTTCCAGTGAAACGGACAGTTACAGAAGCATACAAAATGTTGATAAATTTGCCCATGTCACATGATTAACCCTTTCAGGGTCGACAGGCCCTCTCAGAAACTTGTTCTCAGGGTCGGCCAAATTTAAAAAAAAAAAAAAAATTCTTATGAAAAGATAGAGAATCTTTTCCCGATCATAACGACACCAAGTGTATGAAATTTGATGGAAAACTTACGGAATTATGCTCTCGCAAAGTTAGCGGTCTCGACGATGTTTACACATCAGCGATTTTGCCCACTTTGAGCCCTATTTTCGGCCAATTCCAGTGTACTTGCCGACAAAAATCATAACTATTTTGCTAGAACTCCATTTTTTCTATTGAATGAGTACAAGAAACCACCCATTTACCGATTGCAACTATTCAATACAGTGGTCAGAATTTAGCAATTTTGCCACTTTCACATAAATTTCAAAAGATGCCAATTTCTAAATAGAGTTCAGAATAAACAAGAAAGACATTCCTGGCACTAAAATAACATTTCCTCTGTTCATTAGTCACATCCCCTTGCCCCTCTTACATTCTTTTGCTTTCCACTTGGAATTTTTATTCTCACAAAAAAATAGAAGATTTACTGTTATGCAGACTACTGCATTGGTGTAGAAATGGTATAAATAATATCAGCACACTTGTGAAAGAATATTAGACTCGCCAGTTGATGTGTATTGGATACATAGCATGATTTGTTTACTTTTGAACTTGGAGCTCAATTTCAAGGTACTTTTCTTTGTAAAACCAGTCAAAATCATATCAATTTCTGTAATATGTCTTCCATTCTATAAAATGAGACCAGGAAAACTAGAATACAACAATAAATACCATACAAAAATACAGTGCAAAGTCGCTGTTTTAATCCAAAAACACTGTCAAAGTTTTTTTTTCTCATTACGCACTGTGTGCTGCAGGATTTTTTTTTATACCGCGCACACTGACCACATTGACCCATTCTTTCATATGTAGGCCTACCAGCTTTCTCTCACTAAATTTGAGGGCGCTAGAATTTAGGCGTACTAGTACGTCAAAAGCCCTGGCTCGTAAGCCGTACTAGTATGGCCGAAACCCTGAAAGGGTTAAAAAATGCAAGAGTAAGGGATGGGGTATAAGAAATTGGGTAACTTCTTGTAAAGTAATGGCTTATTATATCACATTTGTTGGCATATATTACCACCTAACATGAAAATCTTTGACAAATTCTGTATACCCTGCACTGATAGAAATTTTAAATGTTTTTTTAAGAGTTTAGAAAAATGTTACTTCAGTATTCTAATGTAATACTGTATTTACCATTCCTTAGGTTCTGTTGAGAGTGATGAGTGGGAAGATTGCGAAGAGGAAGATGACGAGGATACTTATTATAAAATGGTGTTTGTCGTCAACACCGAACTTGGCATGGGGTTTGGCAAAGTGGCTGCTCAGGTCAGTATTAAGTCATTTGATAGCACTGGCTTGCTTGTAGCAGCACCACTGTGTTCGACAGATTATATTATTACCGTCGTATTTTTAGATTGCTACAAGAATGTAAAATGTGTTTTTTTTTATTTCTCTTGTTTCTTAGTTCTCACATTTTCTGCCCCTTTATTTTGTGCTGTGATGCTCTCACGTCTTTACCTGTCCAATATCCATCCTACAAATCATCGTCTTCAGTGTCAGTAAACCAGCTTAAATGGTAAAGAATCTTATTTTGCAGACAATGTCTCTCAAAATAAGCTTAATCATGCTTGTGTTTTATTTACTTGTTCATATTAATTGCTACTAAACTACATCCTTTACTCCATCAGGTATTTTCTTCAATGTCCTGATCTTTTCTTTGCATCTTTTTATATTTCATTTTGCTTCTTGCCTTAATTTAACAAACTACAGTAAAGTGGAACCTCAAATTTCGAACTTAATCCATTCCAGGAGTTAGTTCTAAATTCGAAAAGTCTGAAATTCAAAGCAATATTTCCCATAAGAAATAATGGAAATACAATTAATCCGTTCCAGAAACCCAAAAATATTCACAAAAAAATACATTTTATAGAGATTAATTACAGTTTTACATACACACAACAAATGCTATAATCTTTAATTATGTATAGTAATATAAAATAACATTTTTACTTACCTTTATTGAAGATTGGTGATGGCATCTGGAAGATAGGGAGGAGGAGAGAGGGAGTTGGGGTTATTGTTTGGAAGGAGAATCCCCCTCCATGAAGACTTCTGGTATCAAATCCCTCTCTGGAGTTGCTTCCCTTCTCTGTATTTTAATGCCACTAGGACCAGCTTGAGTCATTGGACCCCAGTCTCACAAAATAACTATCTACAGTCGTCTGTTTCTGTCTCGCAAAATAACTGTCCACAGTCGTCTGTTTCTGTCTCGCAAAATAACTGTCAACAATCGACTGTTTCTCACAAAATAACTGTCAACAATCGACTGTTTCTCACAAAATAACTGTCCACAATCATCTGTTTCTCACAAAATAACTACACAGTCGTCTGTTTCTGTCACAAAATAACTGTCCACAGTCGTCTGTTTCTGTCTCACAAAATAACTGTCCACAGTCCTCTGTACATCCTGGCAAGCTCAACAAGTCTCACTCTGATCTCATACTTCTGTATTATTTCCTTCTTCACATTTATGGTGTTTCTCACTTTCTTTACCACATGGGTACCGCTAGCAAGTTTCTTTGGGCCCATGGCAGGTTATTTCACAGCCCCACAAGCACTAAACACAGTTAAATAATCGTAAAATGTGTGAATGAGATCGCAGGTTAGTGTTCACTCGAGCATAAACAAAGCTAGACTGCTCACGGCGCCTGCGCGCCGCAGACAGAGCGGGCCAGCGGACAGGTCCCGTACCCGGCGGTCCGAAAATAGGAGCGCATTTGATAATAGGGACACGGTTTGTCCGGAAAAATGGTCTTATTTTCGAAACGTTCGATATGTGATACGTTCGATTTTTGAGGTTCCACTGTATTACAGTCCTCTCATTAATGGATTTTGGGAATTTCTGACAAAAACATTGGCTGACAAACTCTATCAGACAAAATGGATGGAAGTGCGTAATTTCACATTTTGTTCTTAGCCATAATGTGTGGCTGTCTTCTGAGGTATCAGGCCAAGTCCACTAACTCTGACATTTGTCCGATGTTTGCTGAGATAGATGCTCCTTCTATGTCGACTATACCATACTGATGAGACTGGTGTCTTCTGGTGTTCTCCCCCTTTCAACACTCGAATCCTTCAGTTTGAAGATAGAACACCATGTTATAAGCTCAGTAAAGACTGCTTCTCAGTATTATGCTATGTTAATGCTGATGGTTCTCCCTGTTTGAAACTACATCTACGTTTTCTCTGCCATCTATGTCTTCCCAACCCTCTGCATAATTTTTACTAGTACTCTGACTTGGAATAAAAATTATTGTAAGCCATCACTGTCAGGCACAGCAGTTAGACCTCATCTCTCCACCATGGAAAGGTAAGTAAAATTACCATAAATTACATAGAAAACTAATAGTATTACCATACAGTACAATACTGTACTGTAGTTCTACAGGTTACAATACCCATATTCTTAGTGTCCACTTGTCTTCTGCATTAGCAGACCAGGTCTGCTACTTCAGACAATAACCAGACAGTTAACATAAGAACATAAGAAAGAAGGAACACTGCAACAGGTCTACTGACCCATGCAGAGCAGGTCCATGTCCCCTCCTCCCCGGATGGATAAGCCCAATGACCCACACCCCGGATTAGCCCAATGACCCACCCATTCTGGCCACCTCCACTCAAGGAAGGAGCACTGCATCAGACCCAGCAGCACAAGCTAGTCAGGTCCAACTCGCCCACCCACACCCACTCGTGTATTTATCTAACCTATTTTTAAAACTACACAACGTTTTAGCCTGAATAACTGTACTCAGGAGTTTGTTCCACTCATCCACAACTCTATTACCAAACCAGTGCTTTCCTATATCCTTCCTGAATCTGAATTTTTCCAACTTGAAACCATTGGTGCGAGTCCTGTCCTGCCTGGCTGGAAATTTTCAGCACACTATTAACATCCCCTTTATTTATTCCTGTTTTGAAATATTTCATAATTTGGGAATTGCAGACAATCGGCAATACTGTAAACCCTCTTCCCTGTATTAGTCCATTAATGAGAAATTTCACTGTGTTCTGCTAGCCCTTCTTTAAACCTTTGACCAGATTGTCTGTAATCCCAAATTGTTTTTGCACGAGTATATTTACTTAGGTAAGGTTCGTCAGGAAACAGGACAACTGTTTCCTGATGCGGGTCTTATCAGATGATGACCCACCTTTGGAGCTTTTGGTCATCTGACCGAGGCCTTCCACTGGCTTACCGGTCCACCCCTTTAAAAATTATGGTCGTGTAGAACCATTTTTGTCTACTCAGGACATTGGTATATTTACATTCTCTTTTTTTTTTTTAACTAAGAAAAATATTTGAAAGATTGAATCATTGAAAATTTTGTCTTACGGAGGTGGTAGCAGCTTTGGCTCAAATTTGAAAGCATAAAGCTTGAACCCTGAACCAAACAGGATATATGGGAAAGTTTCTTTAACCCCTTCAGGGTCCAAGGCCAAAATCTGAAGTGGTGCTCCAGTGTCCAAGAAATTTTGAAAAAAAAAAAATTTTTTTTTTCTTACAGAATTAAAGAGCATATTTTTGTGAAGGTAATAAGACAAAAAAAAAAATTCTGATCAGTACTTACCGAGATACAGTGCCAAGAAGTTTGTCAAAAATGATGTTGGTGGGAAACATCGACGAATTCCACATATGCGCATTACATTATTTTGCGGTTTTTATTGTTTTTTCTTTTTTTCCAATTTTTTTCTATTCTTACTAACATTTGGGGCCTGAGAGACCAATACTGTATATAATGTATATATATAAACTCACTGTAGTTTTTTAGTTTAATATGTTTATTATGCACCCCATACCCATCCTGTGGGTGGTAGTCAAAAGATTACAGAGGTACATAATGGGTCCAGGGACTGGGCCTCAAAGTTTTGATAGCTGAGCAAGTTACAGAGGTAATGAATTCACAATTTACAAAGGTAATGAACTCACAATTTACAAAGGTAATGAACTCCAGGTAGGTCTAGTCACAATCATGACAAGTTACAAAGGTATTTACAGATTACAGAGGTACACAGTGGGTCCAGGGACCGGGCTCCAAAGTTTTGATGGCTGAACTAGGTACAAGGTAATGAACTCACAAGTTACAAAGGTAATGAATACTGTAAGAATGGTTACTTATTTTTATACAGGGCTGCAATCATGAAAAAATTTTTAGAGTAATGAGCAATTCACATTTCCACACCCGGTCAAAAACTGTAGTGATTATTGGTGAAAAATTTTGATTTGGAGTCTCCTCTCTCTCTCTCTCCCCTTCACACACACACACCCCCAACATACAAATTCTACACACACACACACCACACCATACACAAACTCATTCACACACACTCATACCACACACTCTACACACACCCACACCACACACACACACACACACACACACACACCACACCACACACACACACACCCACACCACACACACACAAATGGGCCGGGAGCTCGGGACCGACCCCCGCAACCTCAACTAGGTGAGTACAACTAGGTGAGTCACACACACACCACATACACACAAACCACAACACACACACACAACACACACACCAACACAACACACACACCACACACCCACACATGCCATATGTGGTAATGCTTTATTTACAGCTAGCAAAGTCGGGGTTTTTTTCCCAAATGGTCTGTAATTACACTGGGATAAAATCTTTGCCATTCTTTAACACTCTGAGTGAGTTGTTTTCTAAATTCATTAAATTTTTCGCACCCAGTACATAATGACGCAAGGTTTGACAATAAAACCCTTGGCAAAACTTTAAATTTCGTTTGGTCCCCACATCTGGGGGTGGTGATTTTTAAACCGCCAAAGATACTTTAACCCAGCCGGGGCCGGCGGGGGGACATCCCAAAAGTCTGCTTATTTTGTTGATACCATAAAATGTGGCTCCTCCTCATGATAAATATGATAGATGGGCTCACTGGTGTCAACTCCCTGGCCTTAAGGGGCCTAAAAATTCAGCTGAAGTTCTTTTCGTATTATTTTCCAAAAAACTACCTGAAAGCCAAGATTGAATCTACTTTCCCCCTTTGAAAGCTAAGTTAGCCCCAATTAAAAGTCTTCATGCACTGAAAAACCAAAAAAAAGTGAGATAGAACCAAGCAATGCACTTGATCCACTGCCACAATCCACCATCCCGTTTTAAAAACCCAAAAACTGCACTAAAATTATTATCATTTTATTGTTTAAACCCCGTTGTTTATTACAATAAACATGCACAAATCTTTTTTTTACAAGTTCATCATTATTTTAAATTTCAAT